TTGGAAGTGTGGTTTTATCTGAATACAGACGCCAAGTCGTGCCTACAATGTGGAAATAGTTCAACAGCTGGAATGAGAAAAACCTTTGTGTAAACATATCCTATTGGCTTAAAATATAAACTTTCTAACTCAAATTCTAAACCTCCGTCCTACCAAATTCCGATGATGACATGGTTCAGGAGAGCGTGACCAGCCCACGGAATGGTTTCCGAGGTGTATTCCAAGTGGACTGTGGCTTTCAGGGTTCCTGTCTATTTCCATATGACGTTTCTGTAACTGACCTTTAAGATAATATGTACAGGGTTTAATTCAATAACAAGCATACTTTCTCAGTTAGTGGGAGTAAACACAGAAAAAATCTAAATTTAGAATAGCTGATATCTTTATTAATAAAAAATTTGTTAAATTGTCATAGAAAACTGAAATATTTTTGGTGTCATAAATATGCTATGTCTTAAAATCAGTTTGGAGACCAACAAGAGTAGAAAATACCTTTATTTTTTGTCACCCTGGAAACTGGGTATGGTGACTCGATAGCGTGAAAATTTACTTGGCTGGTTTCATGGACATGATCCAAATGTACGCTGGAGACAAAGGCCTTATTTTAGTATTAAACAACTGAATCTCCTGTTATTCGTCTTCTGATACCACGTGTTTACTGGTCCGCACAGCGAGCAGGGGACGAGGAGAGAGAGAATCTGGGGCCTGTCTGGCCAGTCTGGTCACTCTGGAAAGGGGAGGACTTCCAGCTGAGGTCCGGCTGAAGGAGCTGGTCAGGAATGAACCGAAAATGGATGGAAGACTGAAACATGGGCCCTGAAACCGTAAAACTGCTAGAAGAGAATGGGGAAAAGCTTCCTGATTCGGTGTTAACAGTGACTCTGTGCACATGACACCTGCCCAGGGACAGAAGCAGGAATCGACGAATGGACGACACCAAACCCAGAGCTCCCGCGCAGCGGCAGGGACAATCGACGCCATGAAAAACACTGCAGAATGGGGGAAAACATTCGCAAACCATACATCTGGTAAGGGGTTAATTTCCAAAATACTCAAGAAACTCGTACAACTCAATAGCACAAAACAGCAACAAAAACAAAAAAACAAATAATCTGATTAAAAATGGGAAAAGGACTTGAGCAGACGTTTCTCCAAAGAAGATGTATAGATGCCAACAGGCATTTGAAAAGATGTTCAGCACCACTAGCTGTGAGGGAAATGCAAATCAAAGCCACAGTGAGGTCTCGCCTCACGCCTGCCAGGATGACTGTTACCAAAAGAAAGAAAGAAAGGGCAGAGACAGAAAGAAGGAAGGAAGGAGAGAAAGAAAACACTTGTCGATGAGGCTGTGGGGGAGGTGGAACCCTGTGTAGTGTTGATGAGAATGTAAAATGGTGCAGCCATATGGAGAACAGTGGAGAGGTTCTTTAAAAATCAGAATAGAGCTGTCATATGATCCGGCAGCCTCACTTCTGGGTACACACCCAAAAGAAGTGAGATCAGGGTCTTGAGGACATTGCTGCCCTGCTATGTTGATGGCAACATTGTTCACAGTAGCCAAAATATGGGAACAGCCCAAATGTCTGTCAACAAGATGCGTGGGTAAAGGAAATGTGGTGTGCACGCACAGCGGGGTTCATCCAGCCTTTGGAAAGAAGGGGATCCTACCACTTACAATAACATGGATGGGCCTGGAAGACATGGTGCTGAGCGGGTTAAATCAGTCCCAGAAGGGCAGATCCTGCACATTCCTTTTACAGAAGCCACCCGAATAGGCGAGCGCACATAGTGAGACAGTAGGTGGTGGCCACCGTTCTCCTGGGGATGCGGGGAGAGGGGTGGGAAGTTGTTGTTCATGGGTGTAAAGTGACAGTGACACAAGGTGGGTGAGTTTCAATGATCTGAACAGCAGAGTGCCCATAGCTGACAATAAGGTATTGCACACTTCAAAATTTTAGCAGGTTAGTTTGATATAGTCCCATATGATTTCACTTATATGTGAAATCTAAAAGCAAAACAAAACAAAATGAACAAAATAGCAGTAGACTCGTAGACACTGAGAAGTGACAGGTGGTTACCATGGAGGAGGGCTTGTCTGTCTCCCTTCTTGGGCTACTGTTCTCATCTTCCGGCCTCCAGGCCTTGCTGTGCGTTGAGTACCAGTGAGGTGCTGGTGGCTCCGGCGTATCCATCTGCGATCTCCATCTCGTCCTAAGATGTCAGTCAGGCTCACGAAACGCCTCTGTCACTTCCAGGTGAGCATTCAGGAGCGTGTCCTCAAACTTAACCTGAAGGATAACACTTCTGACTGCGTCCCTTCCCCCCACCCCCCCACCAGCTCCTCTGTAGTCTGCCAGGGTCACCGGATGCCAGCTCGTGTCTACCTCTGCTCTGGCCACAGACCTTCGTGTCACGTCCTGACACCCCAGCAAACCTCTCTGTTCTGCATCCTAAGTATATCTGTGGCTGATCTTAGCTGATGCCTCCGTTCCCATTCGCCTAGATTGGGACAGTTGCTCCCGATGGTGTCTTTGTTAGCACCCTTGCAAAGGGAAGGGATTAACCCAAATTCATGGCCCATACAAATTTCCATCTGCTTCTTATTCACTTGGATTAACATCTGAAGTCTTTACTGTGACCTTCAAAGACCTACGTGATCTGGCCCAGCAAAATACATGCTGACCCCCATTCCCTCCATGCTGCCCTGTGCGGTCAGCCCTGCCTCGTACAGGGTCTGAGACTTTCCCCTTTTCCTGGCTCTGCTGCCCTCCTTTCCCACCCTTTGTGTCTCTCCTGCTGTGTCTCCTTATGCAGCCCACTCAGTCCCTTTACCCTGATTTATTTCTCTATAGGATTCACTGCTGACATGTTCTTTATTACGTTTATTGTTCTTGTGTTGTTTATTGTAAATCTTCCCCTTCTGGAAGGCAAGCCTGATGGGAGCATGATCTTTGTTTTGGTTACTGCTATGTCCCCAAAAGCCTTAAACAGCGCCTGGCCACTGGGCAATCATTCTGTGCTGAATTACTGAAAATCGGTTCCTGGGCTTTTAGGACCAGACACAGAGCCCTTTGGAGACTCCAGTGACCTGCATTGTTAGCAAGCCTTCCTAGTGTGACAGTTATTGCTCTGGATTTTAAAAATTGTTGTAATATGAAGCAGAATTGAGGTGATATATTAGGTAGCAGAACTTTAAAAAAGAGGAAATTTGAAATATGTGCAGTAGCAGTGGGATACATATTGATTAAATGGTTGAGGTTAATGAGGAAATGCATTCTTAATTATTACCAGACTTATACAATTTTTACTTTATAGGAAATATTTTCCATTCTCTTGTATTCCACTCAAAATGCTAAATAATTTGAGATCTGTATTTCATTGCTATGAGAATTTGCTGTTCTTAAACTAAGTGTCTGGGTTTTCTATAAACTTTATGTAGGAAAAACTGAATAAATCCACTGTGAAAAAGTGTTTTAAAAGAAAATATTAAAATTTAGCATTTAAAACTTATTTTAAATGAATTCTAAATATTACATATGTTAGAAAATTACTGCCTGTATATTCTGACACATCTTAAAATGTTCTGATTCCTCAGTATAATTCTGACAATGTAATGACATTCCTATATTTAATATTTAAATACCTGAAATAAGGTAATATATCCTTATCTTGCTCCACAGACAAAACCTGGAAACAAAATAGAATTGTTCTGAATAAAGACAGTGAAACAAAGGCCACTCTGAATCTAATCTCTTCCAGCAAATAGTATGTTTTTCAAATTTTTCTGCTCCTTATGGCTCATCAGGCAGCCTTTTAAAAACCGAATTTGACTTACAATATGTAAACAATAGGGCTTCCTGTCAGTCACCAAGACACTCTTCAGAGCAAAATGAGACATGCAGTTCTGTCTTTTCTCATCAATAACAATTGGCAGATTTATTTTGGTTCATCCTTTCTAGCCATGATCTCCAAAGTAAGAAATCTTTATTAAGAATATGTGAATAATATGGTCTTAAAAATAACCTTTGGCCTCATATCTGCAAATAACATTAAAGCCATTACTTTTCTTAAAGCTGTGCTAAAAGGGTGGTTAAAAAGTAGACCAGCGGTTATCATGATTTTGGTTCTTAGCCAGTCTAGGCAAGAAGGTACTGAACCATGAAGGCGGTTAGAGAAACCTCAGACATTGCCTTCCTTTCCAGCCTTGATGTGATCTGAATCACTACTTTTTTAAACAGATTTTATAATTTTTCTTCTCTAGTACATCCTAATGTATGGTGATGGGGTTTCATAATGGTTGGAGAGTCCCAGCTTGGGCGCCAGAGACTTAGGTCCTATCTCTGCTTAAATCTGTCTTACCTAATTCATTGGTTTATTAGATACAACTCTTTTTAAATGTTGTATTTCCTCATACATTATATGAGAAGCCCCCAATAGCACACCTGTATTTTCTCTGTTCTGTCCTTTGTGCTATTGTCCATGTTTTACCTTTACGTGTGTTAAAACCCACAATAAATTGTGTTACACAATAACTTGCTATATAAATAACTTAAAATGGATAAAAAGTACACCATTTTCTTTACACACATATGTATCACTCTCAGCACTGTTACTTCTTCACATAGTTTTGAATTTCTATCTAGTATCATTTTCATTTTGCCTGAACAAGTTTGTCTAACATTTTTACAGGGCAGGTCTGTTGGTGGCAAATTCTCTCAACTTTGCTCTGTCTGAAAAAATGTTTATTTTTCTATCTTTAAAAAAATTATACAAGTCTTTATTTAAGAATAGGTTTAGGTTTGCACAAATATTGCAAAGACAATAGAGTCCTGTGCACCCCTCACCCAGTCTCCCCGTTACTAATACCTTAATTACTGTGGAACATTTGACACAATTAAAGAAACAGCAGTGGTTCATGACTATTAACTAAGCTTCATACTTTACATAGTGTTTGTTTATTTATTTCACCGGTTTTATCAAATGTCGTTGTGTTGCTCCAGAATTCCACCCGGAACACCACATCACATCTGTGGGCTGTGATACACCCTTAGATCCTTCTGGCCAGCAGAATTCTCCCGGCTGCCCTTGGCTGTGACGCCCTCTGCCCTTCGAGGAACACGGGTTGGGCGTTTTGTAGATCGCACCTTGACTTGGGCTTCGCCTGAGTTTGTCTCACAAATTAAGTGAGGTGATGAGATGGGGAGAAAGATGGCGGAGGTGAAGGACCATTCTCATTTCTTCATCTGAAGGTACACACTACCAGCTTGAACTAACCCTGATAATTTGCCTTACGTAGTGTTTACAAGATTTCTCTACTCTAAAATTATATTTTTGGCTTCTTTCCACACTCCACTCTTCAGAAGCAAGTCACTGAAAACAACTGACACTCAAGAATGTGTGCAGGGAAACTAAACTCCATCAGTGTGAACTTTAGTTATTTTGCTGTTCAAATTGTTCCAGTTTGGACACCGGGGCTCCTTCCAGTGGCTCTGTGTCCCTTTGACATACCCCTGCCATTGTGGTCTTTCAGCATTTCCGACTCCCCAGTGCTGTCTAGGGGAGTGCATGTTGTACCCACCCTCATCTTGAGCACTGATGCCCACACTTCTCACGGAGCCCTGCCTAACTGTTACGATTGTTATTAGTACCATAGATGGTATGAAAGATCGATATCTGGTTCTGGATGTGCACGGCGCTAATGGGGCGCCATTTGTTCTCGGCCTTCCCAGCACACAGACCTAGAAAACACACCTAAGTAGACCGAACCATGAATACACCCACGTCCAGTATTATTGCTGTTTATCTGACTGTCTACACTGAGAGGACATGAGTTCTTGCTGTCGTCTCTGCCTGATCCAGAACCATGTTGCTCATACTAGTCCTTCTTGGTCTTTAACCACCTTCTCCAACAGTCAGAAATCTTTATTCTCAGTTTTGAAAGTATTTTTTACGCTATAAAATCTAGGTCGACGGTCTTTCCGTTCAATACTGAGTGTGTTGCTCCGTGTGTTCCCTCTTCGTGTTTTCTCGTGAGAAGTCTAATGCCATTCTTTTTATTTCTTCTTATAGTGGCTCTTTTCTCTGGCTGCTCTTAAGATTTTCTGTTTATCACTGGGTTTCATCAAGTTGGTAATTATTTGCTTTGGTATGTTTTTCTTTGTGTTTTTCTGCTTGGAATTCATTGGGTTTTTTGAATCTGTGAGTCTCCATTTTTCATCAAAATTCAAAAAACCGTAGCCATTCTTTAAAATATTGTTTCTGTCTCCTTAAGTCAGTGAGACTCCTATGCTCTTGGTTTTCTCTCAGTTTTGGTCAATTCCTGATGGTGACCCTCTCCCTGTGTTTGGAGTCCTGACTGTGCCCCAGGGAGAAAGGTGGGGTGGCTGTGGAGTGCACTCCTTCCCCTCTTAGGCAGGATCATAGCTCTGTGCAGCTTTTTGTCCTAAATCAGTTGTTTCATGTAATTTGTCTAGTTTCGTAGTTGTTTATGATGGTAAGTTAGTTCAGACTGTTACTCTATCATAGCTAGAGAAAGGAATGCCTTTTATCTATTTTTCTATTTTAATAATACTGATTTTTATTTTCTTTTTCTATTTCTCTTGCAGTGTTTAGTTTTCCTGTTTTTACATCTGGCTCATAGATGGCAAAGTCATGACCACAGAGAAATGGTAAATGCCTTTTTCAAATAATGTATAACTAATTTGTTTGGCATTTTCTATGGCCTGAATGTATTCCCTCAAAGTCATATGCTAAAGTCCTAACTCCCAAAGGTGATGGTATTAAGAAGTGGGGACCTTCAGTTGCCGATTAGGTCATGAGGGTGACCCCACGTGAGATCAGTGCCCTTGTGAAAGAGGCCCCACCGAGCTCCCAGCCCCTTCCACTCCGTGAGGGCATGGCAGGTGTGTGACCCCGGAGAGGACCCTCACCTGACTGCTGGCACTGCTTCTGGACCTCCAGCCTCCAGAACTGGGAGAAATGAATTCTGTTGTTTAGTATTTTGCTAGAGTGGCCTAAACAGACTAGGACAATGTCCTAAAGGGACTTAGTGCTGTTATTTAAGATTTTCTCAGTGCATATCCATATTTCCTAAATGTTGAAGGCCTGAAAATACTTGTGATGAGTAATCAGAACATTTTATGATTTACACTCCTTCTTGTATAATTTCTAAGAATTGGAATGGTGTTAGTTTTTCAGAAAGGGACACGTGAACGGAGAAGGCTGGGTGTGTACATCTGGGTTGTGGGGCCCTCTCAAAGGGTCCATCCTGACAGAGGGGGTGGGGGCGGTCAGGGGGGCCAGGTTCTGTCCGCAGGCTGGGCTTCCTTTAGTATGTGACGGAGCGTCACTGAGGATCAGGGCTGGGGGCTGAGCCGGCATGAGGTGAGGGAGGCAGGTGGGATGCGTTGGACCAGGCCGGGCAGCGAGGCCCGACTCGACTGCTTGCTTCATGATTGAGTTCAGGCACGTTTGCTGCTTTGTTGAGGATTCATTTCATCTGGAACTATTTCATAGTATTATTATGAGAATTAACCCACGCAGTTTACCTGAAGTTGCTTGTAAGTTGAAAAACACTTCGAATGCACTTGTTGTTATAGTTATCAGGAGTGCGACACGGGCAATGTTTGGACAGGCCATTTTCGGTAATGATGTGCCAGTTGGGACGGAAGGGAGAGGCTGTGGTCAGGGAGGCTAGAGGTTGGCTGCTGCTTTGGTCTAAAAGCTCTCAAGTCTCTGTCACAGCTAATGTTTGCTAGGCAGCAAGAGGACATGCAGATTTGGACTATCACTTTTCACTCACAATCACCTGGGGGTCTTGTTAAAAGGCAAATATTGATTAAGAAGTTTGGGGTGGGGCCCAAGAGTCTCATTCTGAACAGCCCCCAGGTGATGGCAGTGCTGTGATCCATGGAGCATCCTTTATGCCATGTGGCTTTGTGGGAAGCTGTAGAGGACGAAGCCCCAGAGGTAGCACAGATTCCAGTTGGCAGCTTGGTTTTCTCTCAGTTTTGGTCAATTCCTGATGGTGAAAACAATTGAATGTCGCTCACCATGAAGGATTTCCCAGCTGTGCACGTTGAGCAGTAAGGGTTGTATTCCAAGGATGTCTCTCTCTTTACTTCCTTTGACTTACATTTAAAAGTAATTTTTAATTGTCCTATCCCCCTTTTTCTTAAGTTAATATAATGAGAAGCAGGAAGAGATTTCCCAAAAATAGATTCAAGAAAAAAATGCCACCCTCCTGTGAGAGCAGTGTTAAAATGCTCAAAAAAAGTAAAACTCAAATTTCTTCTGCCTTATAAAAGTAAGGAAAGGACCTGAGTTTTAAAACCATGGCTAACATTTCTGACAATGAATATCGATGGCTTTTTTCCTTACTGTAGATTTCAGAACTTTCCTTGGAAAGAAGAACATGTCACTGAAAAAAAATGGATTACACGGAGTAACCAGCGTAGTAGGAGTGCTTATCCCCTCTTACTCTGCTTTGAATGCAGTCATCACAAAGCGACCAGCTCGATCAATACTGGCTTATAGCTTGAGGGCTTCAGGAGTTGAAGTTTAGGTTGAGCCTAGAGTGACCCGAATTGGCTATAGATACGGAATAACTGTACATCAGGCATCTCCAGAAAGTATTGTAAATTTTCATGTAAGAGTTCACTGTAATTTTCATGCAGTTAAACTAAAGCATTTTCTCTGTATTAACAACACTTGAGGGAATTAAGGGCACATGCCAGTTCAGTTTCAGTTTGTATAAAGTTCACATTGTTTAACTGGAAGTTTTCTTTTCCTTTTAAAGTATTGTGCTTGAGTATTTCAAAGGTGAAGCTAGTTGTGTGAAACTCAGGCTAACCGCATATTTCCATAGGCTGTGGCTGCCTCGGGAGCTTTTACAGTTGTTTGATTGAAGTATTTTGAATAGTTAATCACGCATATGGTAAAAATGTCAAAAAGTACAAAAAGATATTCAGTGAAAAGTAAGTCTCCCTCTTGATCCAGTTACCCTATTACCAGTGACCATGACCAGAGGCCAAAAATGTGGCAGAGCTGCACAGGCACCGACCGAGTTCAGGGCCAGGGCAGCGGGGAGAGGCCAAGGCTCAGTCTGAGCTCGACTCCACAGAAAATCAAGAAAAAAATGCCACCCTCCTGTGAGAGCAGTGTTAAAATGCTCAAAAAAAGTAAAACTCAAATTTCTTCTGCCTTATAAAAGTAAGGAAAGGACCTGAGTTTTAAAACCATGGCTAACATTTCTGACAATGAATATCGATGGCTTTCTTCCTTACTGTAGATTTCAGAACTTTCCTTGGAAAGAAGAACATGTCACTGAAAAAAAATGGATTACACGGAGTAACCAGCGTAGTAGGAGTGCTTATCCCCTCTTACTCTGCTTTGAATGCAGTCATCACAAAGCGACCAGCTCGATCAATACTGGCTTATAGCTTGAGGGCTTCAGGAGTTGAAGTTTAGGTTGAGCCTAGAGTGACCCGAATTGGCTATAGATACGGAATAACTGTACATCAGGCATCTCCAGAAAGTATTGTAAATTTTCATGTAAGAGTTCACTGTAATTTTCATGCAGTTAAACTAAAGCATTTTCTCTGTATTAACAACACTTGAGGGAATTAAGGGCACATGCCAGTTCAGTTTCAGTTTGTATAAAGTTCACATTGTTTAACTGGAAGTTTTCTTTTCCTTTTAAAGTATTGTGCTTGAGTATTTCAAAGGTGAAGCTAGTTGTGTGAAACTCAGGCTAACCGCATATTTCCATAGGCTGTGGCTGCCTCGGGAGCTTTTACAGTTGTTTGATTGAAGTATTTTGAATAGTTAATCACGCATATGGTAAAAATGTCAAAAAGTACAAAAAGATATTCAGTGAAAAGTAAGTCTCCCTCTTGATCCAGTTACCCTATTACCAGTGACCATGACCAGAGGCCAAAAATGTGGCAGAGCTGCACAGGCACCGACCGAGTTCAGGGCCAGGGCAGCGGGGAGAGGCCAAGGCTCAGTCTGAGCTCGACTCCACAGAAAAAAGGGGGAGGAGGGCTTTCAAGCCCTGGGCCAGGAAGTCGTAGGCACCCCCACTTGCCAGGGGTCCTCAGCCAAGGGAAGATGAAACCTTCTCTTATCTCCACAACAGGAGGCCGGTTTGTAAATCGGAGCCCCTCGCGTTCCTAGATGTCCCCTCCTGCCCTTCCACAGAGGCTGGGCGGTGGGGCCTCGCACCTGGGTGCTTTCAGAGAGACGGGCCCATCTTTGGGATAGTTCTGGGTTATAAACCTGGCAGAGTGGGATTTTTAAAAGATTTACATCCCAACGGGACAGAAAAAGAATTTGCAGGTACAAGTTTTGTAAAGTAAATGCTCTTTAAGGGGGAAGCCAGGAAGCGGCCCGGGGTGGGGCCAGGCTGAGGGGAATGAGGAGGCCGTCTTGGCCACCATCTGCTTCAAATACACGCTTATTCTGGAACTTGCTTTTTTCATGAAAACAGGTATAGCAAATGATGAGTAGTATTTTATAGATGTACCAGACCATTTAAATAGCTCCCAACTGCTAGACATTGTGTCTGCTGTTGGGCGTCTGCAGTGAGCGGCAGTGTGCGCAGTGAAACATGAGAGATTATTTCTATAGCATAAATTGCAAAAATGGTATTGCTGGATTGAAAAGGATACATTTCAAATTTTGTTAGCTGTTACCGAATTGCCTTCCGTGTGCTGCATCAGTTTTGGGCTTACATCAACCTTTGCAAACAGCATGTTTCCAAAGTTGTTGATTTTTTCCAGTGTGGCTTGTGAGAAGTAGTGGCTTTTTAACTTCTAATTTGTTCACTTTGGGATCACCGGGGCTGGCAGTGCCCAGCCTTCAGACCATTCAATGAGTCATTCATTGTCCATTGCCAGGGAGTAAAAGTTTGCTGTGATTAACTGACCATTTCTCATAAAATGTCCAAACTGTTAGAAAAATGTCAAAAATTTTAAGTAGTTAAAATACAGTCTCCTTTATGAAGACCTTCAAGAGACAGAAGGTGAAGGACAGCCTCAGGCAGGGAGATAAAATCCGCATGCTTTTTGCCTTTTCTAGTCTCTGAGCCTCCCACTTTCATGTTTCCATGTTTCAGATTCCAGCTATGCTCCCATTTTCCCTTTCAGTGCCTTGTTTGTTTCTTGCCTAAACTATAGATAGGATCAGAGTTTAGAAAATCTGAAGAAAAGTGATTATTGGAAGTATGTCCCTTAGTGCCCCTGAATCACTTTAAGGAATAATAATGGGCCAGGTCAGGAGGGGTACTGTTTGTTAAGCAAGATCCCCTTGAGCTGATTCTCCTGTACAAGTGTTACTTCATTCACTCCCTGAAACAACTTCCCAGACAGATGATGTCACCTCCATATGACATATGCAGCCTGAGGTCAGCGGAGTGGCCGCTGGGCGAGGTCACCCAGCTAGGGGTGAAGCTGCGATGGATGCTTTTCATGAACCCGGGACGCCCGGCTTCCTCCAGGGGCCTTCTTCTCTGCCCAGGCCACCAAAGGAGTTGTGGGTTCGTGCTGACTGGCTTCCTTCCTGACTTCTCTGCAGTGATACACGCACAGACGTTCTGGGGACTCAAGTGTCGGCACATGTGGAAAGTGAATGAATGGTGCTGGATTCCGGGATTATTTTGAATAGGTAAGAAGAGGAGCACGTGGCTACGTGACTTGCCGACAGAGGAGCCATTGGGTCGGTGTGGAGGCTGCCATTGCTTCCTGCCCATCTTTACCAGAGAAATGTCAGTAGAAATATTCACAAGAGTGTGTATTTATTCTGTGCTGGCGAAACAGCCTATTTATTAATCGAACCATTTTTTTTCCCATAAGACAGTTTACATTACGTGGATCAGGATGCCCCAGCGTGGAAGCTCTAGGACACGATTTCCTTAGAATGGAATGAACTTTGTATGCAAAAGGGTGGCGTGATCATGTAAACTGGGAACTGATGAGGTAAGATGAGCAGGCAGGTTGACTTCTTGAGACTTAAATACCTTAACAAGCCCTGGCCCAGGAAGATTTTAGGATGCGTTTCTCAGACCTATTTGACCCAGAGGTCCTTTCCCTGAATATCCTACTGGGCTGGCATGCAGGAGGGTCCCCTGGGAAACCGCGCAGAAGGGCTGTCAGCGACGAGGCCTGCGGGTGCCCACGCGAGCACCGGGACGCGGCCCAGCGCACACGACGGCCTTGGGCTTCCCGGTTCCTGGAAGGCGGAGTGTCTCCTTCTCTCAGGCACCTGGGGTGTGAGGCATTTCCCGTCTTCGGCTCCGTGAGACCCACCCGCCTCGGTGCTGCCGCTCTGCTGTCAGAAGTTATATTTGCAGGTTGATTTCCGAAACCTCAACTGTGGTGCCGATTAAGGAACGAATTCCTCCTATGGGATTTTCCTATTTTCACCTAACAAAGATACTGAACTATTACTATGACAAAGACTGTCAACTTCATCCACGTGCTTTTTCTTCAATTTCTACAAAATACTTCATTCTGAAGCCCTAAAAGCAAATAATGGCTGTTGAGCAGTAGGAAGTGAATTTTGCAGGATGCCTCCCAGACGTCTCTGTGGGATGAAGCACTCGTGTCCGAGCGGCCGGGTGTGGGGGCCTCCAGCTGCTCGGCGGCCTGGACATGCGGGAGCAGCCTCCCCAGGGGCGTGACCCACTGCCAGGGGCGGGTCATGCGGGACAAGGGGCCTGGCGCCTGCCCGCTCTCCTCCTAAGGGCTAGTCTGCCCCCAGGTCTCCACATGAACCCAGCTGAGTCCTTTAGTACAGGTGCGTCCTGATTTGGCCTCTCTCTCTGCAACCCTGGCTCCTGCCCTCTCCTCAGAGGTGTTGGTCCCCAGAGTCCTGATGGACAGACTTCCCGCACCCACATTTATATCTCACAGACTGCTTCCTGACGGGGAACTTAGGGCATTGTATTTTTTAGAATCTAGGCCTGCATGGTGTCCCCAAGCATGGAAAAGAATGGACCTTGTAAGGCTGAGCTTGTGTCTATTTGAGTCTGTGAGCAAATATCTGTAGTCTAAACACCTGAAAATAATGTCCATCTAAGGGGCAGCATCCAAAATGCTTTTGTAGAGGAAATCTACTCCTTGCTGCAAAGAGAATCCAGAACATAAAGCATTATACTGTGTGTGACCATTACGACCTCTCCCAGGGAAGTGGACTTGGCTCATATTGTCAATTATTGCACCCCAAATACTGGGCCTAAACCAGATGTGGAGAGGAGGCGAAGCCAGCCTGACGATTCTGGTGGCCTGCATTTGTGCATGGAAATGTTACCTTAGAGTCTACCAAACTTTTGATAAGTCAAGAGTCTACAAATCCAGAGAGGGTCCAAGCGTTTGGAGAGACCCCGCGGTTACGTGGGGAGGGCCGAGCAGTGGCAGGAGGGCGAATGCGGGAGGCTGACGGGAGGGAATGGGGCCATTTGGGGTCATTTGCTTCAGATAATAACAGCTGCAAAATAAAACCCTCTCCTTTCCCTGCTCCCCCTCTGTGTGCATCCGTGGAACATGCTCTTGTGTGGGCTCTAGGTACATTTTCATCCTGTCCTAGATAGGCATTTTATCCCCATTTTAAAGATGAACAAACTGGTGTTCACAAAAATGAAGTAAACTCCCCAAAGTCACCTAGCTGACTCTAAAGCCACATTCTTCCCATTTTCTGTTTATAATGGGAAGTGTGTTTTGTGCTCATTTGTAGCAAGATAATTAACTGTTATTTGTATTCAAGAAGTTTCAATTATTTAATCCAACAGATTGTATATTACTCTCAGTCTACCAGTTATGTTGAATTTTGCCTAATATATTGATGAGTGGGTAATTCCATACTTGGACCCATAGTTAAGAGAAATAATGGTAAAAGCAATAAAAATTTCAAAGGAAATTCATACACTAATGAGCCTTTTTTTGGGGTTGTTTCTTCCTATAGAATAACCAAGCATCTTGGAAAGAAAAATGAAAATGATTGCTGAATGCACTGGCTTGTAAATGCCCCCAAAAAAGAAGGTACCATAATTACTCCATTAAATGTACTGAAAATATTTGTCAAGCTGATTATTGAAGATTAGGTAAGTTAAGTTGGCTGCCACAGTCACTGAGTTTATTATTGGCCATTCTCTTCAGAGTTTAAAAGAAGTTTGGAAGAACTCAGAATTACTGTGAAAACTGTCCTGTTTCTCTGGGTTCAGAATATAAGTAGCTATGGGGATAGAAGGAAAACTATTATTTCATCTTTATATCATTTCTAGGACTATCTCAAGAGAGAAAGAGAGCATTGCATCTGAACAGAGAGAGTGAGGAATACAGAAATACAAGGGTTTTGACTTCCATTCCCTTGGGATCTACAATGAGACCAGGGCATAAGAAAAGCTTTGAAAATAACTCATGTTCACACCTACCCGGTCTAGGGTGAAGTTGGAATTGTGAATTAGCTCGCTTTATTTTAGGCTAAAGTAAGTAGTTATGTTAAACATTCGACATTAACGCTATTGCTGAATCGCGCAGTGAATTGGCAAAACGACCATCCGGAATATGAAGACCTTTGTCATCGAATCTCCGACCTTTAAACGTGAGGTCATATCACAGACGTTCGCATGGACTTTAAGGTGATCAGATTCTCTAAACTCATTTTGGAAATAGGTGTTTCTGAAAATACTCATCAAAACTCATCGAATTGTTGTTTATTCTATTTTAAATGCATTGATGGAGAAGCTAGTCAAAGGAATCCAATGATGATCGGGAAAATAAGAAAATCATTTGAGATGTTAACATAACTTTCTGAATTCATCTAGTTCTTTAATATAAACCTAGTTAAATCACAATGCAGCTCACTGTTTTATTATAACTTCTTGAAATTTTTCATGTCTAATGTATGCACAGGTGAGCGAACCGTCTGTCATGCTGTACATTCGTGGGGCTGTGGTGGCGTCTCGCTGCGTTTGGGGGCCACTCCAGGTGGCCTGCTTGGGTTTGATGGGGAGAAATGTTTTCACCAGTGGATGAATTGCGGTAGCAGATATTTACATTCAGAAATACCAAAGGCATTATTTTTTCTCTGAGAAGGGCACTTCAGTGTGAGCAGGCGTCCCTTCTCTTGTTCACTGTGTCAACAGTGATCATCCTGTGCTGACGTTCTCTGAAACGCGCATTTCTGGCAGTTAGACATTACGAGGCAGTTTGCTGTGTGACGGATTAGTTGCTGACTAACAGTTCAGATATCTCCATGTCTTTTTCTTTAACTGTCCCCCATCAGTTTCAAACTACTAATGTCATAGTTACTTAATGGGTTACTCTCAGGGGTAAACATGTAAGAAGGGACAAGATAGAAAATTCTGTAGCATGGAAAGTTAATGAGAAACTGAAAGGAGCTTTAGATATAACTAATTTTGGTATATTTTCATTCATTCTTTAACAGTAAAAATAATGCATGTCACAATTAAATATTGAATATTATAGTGCATTTAAAAATTTTATTTATTTCGTTACTAATTCATATGAGTAGAATGGCAGAAGAAATGAGAAATGTCTCTCTTCTCCCTTTTAAAAATTTACAAGTACTGGCACCTCATTTATTCTATAAAAGGCAATAGCTTAGAGCATGGTATTGGGGTTATATATGTAAATATTTAAACAAGACAAAATTTTTCTTAAATAGCTTTCATTTTAAAGAGATGATAAGTAGATCACGTTTTTTAAGGGAGTACCAAATAAAAATCTGCTAGCCCACTGCGGAAGCGGGGACGGTTTCCCCCTCCGAAGGAGGGGATGGGGGCAGGCGTGAGCTCCCAGGACCTTCCAAGCGAAGCCCAGAGCCCCAGGGGAGGAAGGGGCTCTGACATGATGAGCGATGCAAACACCCGGGCGTGCGGGGCATGCTGACTTCTCCAGATTTTCCCCTCTGAAGCTTCCAGAACAGCTCTGTGAGAAGGTCAGGGCACCTCTTCTCCCTGTCGCCCACATTTGGCCTTCTCCTCTGTAATCTCGCCATTCCTGTGGCCGTCCTTCGGGCTCAGGGCTGCCTTAGAGGGCGCCCTGGGTGTGGGGTCGTGCTCCCTTCTGGACCCCGGCCCCGGTCCCTCCCCACTGCCCGCGCTGTGATACCCGTCCTGACCGGGGCTGTGGAATCCCTCCTCTCCAAACATCCGCCTGCCGCCTTCCCATCTCTACTTTTGTAAAATTCTTTATGTGATTTTGACATGCATCGGATTTGCTAAGTGGCCTGACGTATTTAATATTCACTAGATCCACCTGGTCTTCTGTGTAAATGAGGCCAAGAACAGAAACCTAGGCAAAGAGCAGGCTATTTAAATAAACAAAATTTAATGTAATATTTTAAGGAAAAATCCTCAAATCATTACAAGGGCATTTCATACTTGATGAAGGGTTTGCCAGCGTATTTCTAGTTAGGGAAATTTTGAAGTGAAATGCTCAATAATGAAATGCTATCTAGAATGTTGACTGACAGGTTTTGACCTGCTAATGAAATTGGCATAATATTTTAAGGAATTATAACTGATCAGATGGAATAATGAGACCTGGAGTTAAACTAAATGGAACAGATTACATCATAGATAGAGTTGAATTTCTCATAAAAGATATCTGATGACAAAGTAATTACCAAATAATCATGTAGTAAATTATATTTTTTAATCTCTACCAGTGGGAAAACCCTATTTGCTGATTAGCTTTCAACTTTGTTAAATAACTTAAAGTAAAATTAATCAGCGTGTCCAAATCAGATTTAAAAAAAATTGAATCCATATGATGTGCTAGAAGAATGAGGATGGATTTATTAATTATCCTAATTCTTAATTATCTTAATTAATTATCCTGATTCCACTTTGTAAGTTCCAGTCTCCACCAGTCGCTCTGCTCACCAACACGCTTGGTAGGCTGAATGTGGACGGCTATGGATCTGTCACTGCGATAGCAAGAATTCTGCGTTTCCAGGACTTGGGAACTGCCACTGCCACAGACACACATTTTTTACATTAAATACATGTTTATGAAATTCCAGAATCAGGGGAGAAGGAACCTGACCGAGCAGGACACCGGGCCCAGCGGGTCGCTGATGCCGCACCCCACCCCCAGGGCCTCGCCCACGGCCTCCATCCCCAGCTGCGGCCTCGCTCCTGATGCCGCCGCCCCGTGGGGCTGCCGGTCCCTTTCCTGCGACTCGGTTCCCGGCCTCTGCGGAGTCGCTGGACGCGTCCCCCTGCTGAGCCCGTGGGCTTCACGATGACCTGATGCTCCCTAGCTTTGCAGATGGGATCGAGTTCAAGACCTTGAAATAAGGAGATTGACCTGGCTTATCTGGGTTGGCCCAGTTTATTCACAAGCGTCCTTGTATCACGAGAGGGAGGTGAGAGGTTGGAGCCAGAGGCGACGCGAAGGCCTGACGGTGGGAGTAGCGGAGAAGGAGGGACAGAGCCGGACAGAGGCCTTGGGGGGCCGTGCCCCTGGCTCTGTGGACGGAGGGGGACGGAGGGTCAGTCACAGGGCGGCAGATGCCTCCGCAGTTTGGAGGCGGGCATGGGGGCTCAGCCCCAGGGCCCCCGGGAGGGTGTGCGGCCCTCCTGGCGTCCTGTTCTCGGGTCGCATCAAACCCGTGTCCGACCTCTGACCTCCAGAACTGCAAGATAATACTTTTTTTTGCTGTGCACGACCAAGTGGCGTTGGGCACCGACACACAGACTCTGAGCTTCCACTACGAACACAGCACTTACCCGCCATCTCTCTCCTCCCCACCAGCAGCTTCCCCGGCCCCGCAGCTCCTTCCCAGGCACCGACAGTCAGCCTCAGACAGCAGCCCTTTATCTCTTTCCTTTCAGCGTCACTTGTATTAAAAAAAGGTTTGTCTCCGTGCCTGGAATGTGATCTGGCTCCAGCCCGACCAGGGCGTGCAGCCCCCCGGGGGTCCTCCTCACCCTCGTCACCCTCCTCACCCCATGGCCCATGGCGCCTGCGGCTCTGGGTGGCATGGCCGTGCCCTCAGGGGCCTGGTCGCCATGAGGCCTGTCTTTCTGGGATCTTCACCCAGCTCTCTCCCCTGCCCGCTGCTCATGTTTTGGTAGATGGCTCAAGTCTGTTCTTTTTTACTTTAATTTTTCCTTTCCTTATGAACCCTGGGCGATCCCATCTGCTCTCATGGTTCAGTTTCCAGTTCCGAGCAGACCACTTCTAGCCAGACGCTCCCAGCTTTACTCTTGAATTCCAGATACATTCACCCATCAGACACGCCTGCCCCTGTGACACCTGGACACTCTCAGCGTCACCTAGACCTAGGGAGGTTCTTCTCGTTTTCAGCGTCCCAGAGAAGTAAGAGGGAATTACCCTTGGCCCCTGCATCTACTGACCCCCCATGTCCTGGGCTTGCTGGGGTCTATCTCGTTAACATCAAAAATCAAATTAATCTTTGCACCCCACAGAGCCTCCACAATTTGAAAGGTCATCTCATCTTTTCTCTAGAAGATGTAAAAAGCTTTCTACCATAAACTTATCTCACCTCCAGACCCACCCTCATTCTGTAGCAGCATGGCATTCCTATAGCTAAGTCTGATTATGTGTCTGCCTTGTCTTAAGATTCCACCTATATTCATGTGCCACAGATAAAATGGACACTTCTTACCACTGCCTCTAAGGTCTGCTCTGTTCCTCTGGCCAACTTCCCAGCCTCCCTCCTCGCTGCATCAGATATCTGCGTTCCAGACACAGAGAGCAGCTCCTTATTCACTTGACTATATGTCTTTGCACACATTCCTCCTAAAATGTGTCGACTTGTTAAGCTCAAACATCCCCCTTTCCTTGAACCTCTCCTCAAGTTGCCAGAACCAGCCATTAAATACCGTTCCAGATCACTCTGTCCCTGTCTGTATTACAGCACGTAGTGCCTCGTGGGTAATGTCTAGTTTTTGTGTTCTGTCTGACTGGTCTGAACTCTGTAGGGCACATTTGCACTTCTTCACATTTGCACACCTAGTACCTAGCACCATGCATAACACCCAGGAAACACCAAGTAGATGTACATGGATAAACACTGAAAACAGGTGTGAGCCAAAGACCATGTAGTGATTTCCTGCAAAATGATACTCAAAAGGTCTTTAAGTAAAACTAGGGAAAGCTGTGGAAGGATTGATCATTGAAGGAAGCAGTGCGGTTGGCGTGGTGGTGGGAATAAAGCTCAGAGATCTGCCGTTCCTCGCGAGGAAGGCCCCCCACCTTCCCGTAGGCGGTGCACACGGGTGGGTAGGATTCTTTCTGTGTTACATGGGATTACAGTCTCTAAGGAAAAATAGTTATTGAACAGGTGGGCAGAAGAAGGGACTGCAGAGACTCTGATAGGCGTGTGTACTGGGTAGGACCCGAGCACCCTACAGAGAGAGCGCAGTGAGTTCCTTGTGGGTTAGGTAAGGCCTCCTAGCGGAAGTAAGTTAAATAAAAGAGTAACATTTTTGAAGGAAGAAAAGCAATATTAATACCAGAAATTGTAAAATACAAAGTGGGTGATGCACTAAGTCGGGTGCTGAGGTTTTGGTGTGTTCTCCCTTTCGTCAGCCGGCCCAGGACATGTCATGATCATGTATGTGTATTTATATATATCCAAAAGCTGTCTTGTGATTGCGGGTTTTGTTTATCACAGACTGGTGCCTCTCATTGTTTTTATTAAGTGGCCACACTGAGTTTGTGCCTGGCCAGAGGAAAAATCAAAACATTTCTTTACAAACCCTGACCAATTGCGGTGGGAGGAGATGAAAGCACGGAGTCAGGTGAAGTGATGGAGCTCCCACTGGGCCCAGCATCGTTTTATAGAAAGTTTAGGCTTTGTTCTTGTTCCTGCGTTCTCCAGGAATGTGATCGAAGGCATTTAGATCTCCCAGGTTCACACAGTTTGAAACTGACAGTCCCCTCAGAGCACAGATTCTGAAAACTCTATGGGGCATTATCAGAATACCATCAGTCAATTACCATTGTAAACTAAACAAATATCCCTGGTGACAATCATTAAAATTCATGCAGATAATTAGTTCAATACCTTTACTCTGTAGTTATTTGGTTCCATTGAGGGAAAATTAATTTACATGCTGACAGAAGTTTTTAATAGTTATTGCAATTTTGATACACAATGAGGCTAAGATGTCACATGCATTTGATATGGATTTTTTTCCCAGAAGGGTACATCTGCTTAAGGAAAAGAATCACTGTTACACATAGTGAAAATCAGATGGTTTTGAACTTTATTGGGACAAGTTTGAAGCATTACTTGTCTTCTTCATTACCGTTTTCTGAGCTGTTCTTAGCTTTTGTCCATTCATATTCATTTTATAATCAGCTGGTGAAGATTCTTTGAAACTGTGTAAGATTTTTATTAAAATTGCAATTAATCTATAAATTTAAAGAATTTGAAACGTTATGTCATTTGCTGAACATGGTACACATCTCCATTTGTCTTCTATTTGTCTTAATAGGTTTTAAATTTGTCTAGAGAAAGGTCTTACAAATTGT